AAGTAGAAGTAGTAGTAGTCGTAGTAGTAGTAGTAGTAGTAGTAGGTAGTAGTAGTAGTAGTCGTGTAGTAGTAGTTGTCGTCGTAGTAGTCGTAGTAGTAGTAGTAGGTAGTAGTAGTAGTTAGAAGTATAGTAGTAGTAGTCGTAGTAGTAGTAGTAGTAGTAGTAGTAGTAGTAGTAGTCGTCGTAGTAGTAGTAGTCGTCGTCGTAGTAGTAGTACTAGTAGTAGTAGTAGTAGTAGTAGTAGTAGTAGTAGTAGTAGTACTAGTAGTAGTAGTAGTAGTAGTAGTAGTAGTAGTAGTAGTAGTAGTAGTAGTAGTAGTAGTAGTAGTGGTAGTATTCGTATAAGTAGTAGAAGCAGTAGATGAAGAAGAAATAGTAGTAGTAGTAGTAGTAGTAGTAGTAGTAGTAGTAGTAGTAGTAGTAGTAGGCGTGTGTCGTAGCCGTTGTAGCATTCGTTGTTGTCGTCGTAGTCGCAGTCGTAGTTCGATGTAGTAATTGTTTTAGTAGTCGTTGTCGTGTCGTTCGGGTGTGATTTTTCTTGTCGCTTCTGAATGGGCTTTCAGGGGTAAGGGTTTGGGTTTGGCTTCGGGAGCCCGCGCGCCCATGAAGCAACACATGTTTTGTTAGCAGAAATATGTTCGGACATGCATTTTCTGGAATTGGAGAGCACTTGGTTACCACAGTGACTAATTGCTTCTTAGCGTGTGTGGAAATTCGAGGGCCCCAGGGTTGACAACAATCAGCGAATTTCGTTTAGCAAAATATTTGAAGGGGTCGCTACTGAACTCGTGGAGCCTTCCTATCTCCGCGGAAGCAAATTCTTTTTAGTTGAACGTCCAGATTGGGTCACTATGGAATTGGAGGGCTTCCTGCTTCCACAGGAATCACACGGTTACAGGTGGCTTTCAAGGGGCCACCACGTCCGAAAACGGTGTGGTCACCGCTTCGTTTTGAGGGCCATCAGTCGGCGGCCAGCGAGTGGGGAGATGAGAAGGAGAAGGCCTCCTCCGAAGCCGGCGGGACTTCTCAGAAACCCTCGCGCTTTCTGAGAAGTTTTCTGCGTCTTCGAGGAAGGTTTAGAAAAGTTATCAGAAGGCTGGAGGCCTTCCGAGCCTTCTGAGGAGGCCCGCCCTTTCTCCCACCCCCCCTCGTTCGCCGCGGATGGGTGCAAGGGACAACTTCGCGATCCCAGCGGAGCGCTCCTCAGCCAAATGCCTGCGACGGCTTGCATGCGTCGGGATGGCGGCAAGCATCTCGAAGCTCACTGAAGGCAGACACCTCTGAGGGCAAGCATCTCGGCGGCGAGCCCGGGCGGCGAGCTGAGCTCCCACGCCGCCCCCCCCCCCTCGGGAGGCCCCAGCTCAGCCAACGCTCGCGCGCGCGCGCGGCAGGCGCGCGACGGCCGGCCGCGCACCCCGCGGGCGCCGCGCCCGCGCGGCGGGCCCGCGCCGCTTGCAGCCTCGCCCGTCTTCGGGCGCCGGTCGCCGAGGGGGGGGGGTGGGCGGGCGAGGCGAGGCAGGAGGCACCGAGGGAGGGACGCCCAGGGGCGCCCTCGAGGGTCGAGGGCGGGAAGTCGTTGGCGCCTCGAGGTTCGGTTCCTTCTCCTCCTCCTCCTGCTCCTCCTCCTCCTCCTCCTCGTCCTCCTCCTCCCTCCCTCCTCTCCCTCCTCCTCTCCTCCTCCTCCTCCTCCTCCTCCTCCTCCTCCTCCTCCTCCTCTCCCCTGGGGGGCGGCGCGAGGGCGCGAAGCTGTTCGCGCTTTCGCGCTCAGCGCGGCGCGGAGCGCGAGGTTGGGCGCCCCGGGGCCTCTCGGCGGCGAGGCGGCACGCTGTGGGGCCCGAGGTCCCCGCCTGGAGGAGTCGAAACGATCCCTGCAGACGAGGCCGAGCAGAATTCTCCCAGAGGCTGCCCTCCCGCTTGCGCACGGCGCGCGGCCTGTGCTCGCCCGCGATGGTGGCCCCAAGTGGGCCCCAAAGATCTCCAGACGGCCCGATCGCGTCCCCGCCCTCGCCTTTAAAACGAAGCCCAGACGAGGATGATATCGGGTGTGGACGTCGCCGATGCGCCAGCGACGGTCGCCGAGGCATCGGCGATGCGGCGCGGTCCTCCCCAGCCACGCGCAGAACAGGTTGCGGGGGGAGGGGGGAAGGCTTCTTGGAAGCACCCCTGCTTCTTAGAGGGCGCGGGCCTTTTGTCTGCAGACGTGGGGCCGGCGCCTGCTGAGAAGAGCAGCCTGCTTCTGAAAAGCCTTCCCCCCTCCCCCTGCCCCCTTGTGCGCGCCGCCAACCTCCGACCCCAGCTGCCCGGACCCCAGCTGGGGGGCCGCTGCGCGGGCGCGGGCCGCCGACGGGGGGAGGGCGGGCGAGGCGGGACGTATCGAGGGAATCGACTGCACGTAGAAGTAACCCCTCGCCGGAGTAACCGTACGTGGGAGCTCATTGGGGTCTCTCGGGCTGGTGGTAATGGGGGGTGGCCTTACGGGGAAGGAGGGGTGGAGAGGGGTGAGAGGGATGTGGGGATGTCCGGAAAAGTGGAGGGGTGAGAGGGATGTGGGACGGCGGGAAGATCAGGGAGGTCCGGGGGAGGGGGGTGGAGAGGGAAGGCGGGGGCGTGGGGAGAAACGTATATGTAAAAGCGGGGTGGACCGGGAATGGAGAAAGGAGGAGGAGGAGGAGGAGGAGGAGGAGGAGGAGGAGGAGAGGAGGAGACGGAGGGAGGAGGAGGAGGAGGAGGAGGAGGAGGAGGAGGAGGAGGAGGAGGAGGAGGAACAGGAAAAGGCGGAGGAGGAGGAAGAGGAGAAGAAGGAGGAGAGTCATGGAGAGAAGGGGGGTGGGGATGGTGAGGAGGAGGAGGACGATGGGGTAGTGGAGTGGGACGTGGGGGAGGGGAGAGGGGAAGAGAAGAGAGGAGAGGAGAGAGGAGAGAGGAGAGAAAAGAGAGGAAACAGGCAAGCCAGGCGCGCTCGCGCCATCCCTGACATCCTATTATTTCCTCCCGTCCCTGCCCAATGCGCTGACTTTTCATATATCCGCGGACTCGTGTCATAGCCGACCTGGAACTCCACAAAAGGCCTCATCGTGCTATGCGCAGTCGGAAAAGGGAAATCCTAGACGCTTCGAGTAACCCCACCAGCCCATCCAGAAACGATGCCCAGAGGAATTGCCTCGATCAGGGAAGTGGGCAGCGCACAGAGGAAGGGTCCCCCAGTGGAGGCCTCTTTGAGCGTCTTGGGGGCCTCTTGGCGGTCCCGGACGCCTCTTAGAGCGTCTTGGGTGCCTCGGAGAGCTTTTTGGGGCCTCTTGGGGGTCTCTGGGGAGCCTCTTGGAAGCCTCTTCGGCGCCTGTTGGGGCCTCTTGGGGCCCTCTTGGGACGCCTCTTGGGGCCCTCTTGGGACGCTCCCAAGGGGAGCGCCCTTGGAGCCCTGTTAGACCAGCTTTCAGCCATCTTGAGGCCTCAGATGGCCATCGGAAGCGAAAAGGCGAGAAAGCCAAAACCATAGATTATCGTAAGGTTTTGGAAATATTCTGACCTCTTCGGGGCCTCCTGGGGAGCTCTTTGGCCACTTGGAGCCGTCTTGGAGCGGTCTTGGGGCCTCTTTGAGCATCGTGGGAGCCATCTTGAGGCATCTTGGGATATCTTGAGCCATCTTGGAGGAGGTCATCTTGGGCTCTCCCAGGCGCTCTTGGAGTAATCTTAAGCAGTGAAAATCAATGATTTTAGCATTGTCGCCGATGCCTCTTGAAGGGTCTTGGGTGCCTCTGGGGGGCCTCGTGAGGCCTCTTTTGGGGTCTCTTGGGAGCTTGGGGGCATCCTGGGGGCCTCTTGGGGGCCTCTTGGGGCCTCCTGGCCACCTCTTGGGGCCCTTTTGGGGCACCCTTGGGAGCCTTGGGAGCGCTGGTGGGGCCATCTCGGAGGAGATCGATCAAAGAAGGGGGTTCCCCAATCAGCGCTGCCCCCCCCCAAGAGGCCCAAATGGGGCCCAAACCCTAGTAAAACCAATGATGTTGGCTTCCTCGCCGAGGCCGTTTTGGACGCCCTGACCGCTCGCGGAACCTCCCGTCCAGGTCCAGGGGAGGGTGTAGGGTGAGGGGTAAACCCCTTCCCGAAGAGGAAGAAGGGGGTGGAAGAGGAAACACCCTAAACTACCTACGCCCGAGTAAAGGGCTGGTGGGTTTTGTGGGACCTGTGCGACCTGGGGGGCTTCTGCGGCCTGTGGATCCTGTCAGACCCTCGAGACCTGTGAGACCAGTGGCACCAGCCGGACCTGCGGGACCTGTGGGGCCTGGGGCACTTCTATGGGACCTGTGAGACATGCGACACCTCTTGGGACCGGCGCGGGACCTGCGGGACCTGTCAGACCTATTTGACTTGTTGGGCATGCGAGACCTGCGAAACATGGGGAATTTTTGAGACCTGTGGAAACTGTCAGACCAGTGGGACCTGTGGGGCGGCCTGCGACACTTGTGGGTCCTGTGGGACCTGTGGGACCTGTGGTGCCTGCGAGCCCTGCGAGACCTGTGGGATCCAGAAGAGTGGCCCACGCTGGGGCGGGAACGACGTTCTGAATAACGGGAGCACAGCGCCGATCCGAAAATGAGGCCCACGCTGCAGCGAGAGCACCATGTTTGGAAATCTGTAAGCAGTCGGATGTATGACAAAAGCCTGTGAAAAGCCAGTTCGCGCAAATCTGGTGCGCAAGAAATCAGGACGCAGAGGGACACAAGAGGAAAGCTCCCTCGCGCAAAACGTGTGCGTCAAGGAGAAGAAGGGGGGTAGAGGAGAGGGGATGGGAGGAGAAGAGGAGGGGAGGAGGAGGAGGTTCCGGAGGAATCGAACGGAGTGCAGGGGACGGTGGGCGCGGCGAGGGTTGGCCCGGCACGGGGCGGTGGATCTGTGCCCTCGTGGCCGCGGCAAGGGCCCCGCGGTCTCCCGAGCGGCCCCCCCGTGGGCCCCCTACGCGAGCAGCGCCCGCGGCCCGCACCCCCGGCCGGCGGGCACGACCGACCTCGTAGGCGCGCGGCGCGCGATGGCACAGCAAACGGAGCCGGTGTCGCCGTCGCCGTCGCCGCCGATGGCCTCGCCGCCGTCGCCGTCGGCGCGCCCGCCCCGATGCGCCGTCGCTGCCGTGGGCGGCCGCCGCGTTCGCGGCGGGAGTTTTTAGATCCCCGCGTCCTCGTCCGCGTCCTCGTCGCGCTTCCGTCGTCGCGGCCGTCGCCTCCACTGCTCGCAGGAGGGAAAGGTGTACCGATGCCGTTGCCATTTGCCCTCGTCGTTTGGCCCTTTCTGGGCCTCCCAGGAGGCCCTCGTCGCCACGGCTGCATTCTCCCCGGAATTCAGGTCAGAACGCGTCCTGGGAGAGGTCCGGGGAACAGCGGCATCAGTACCTTTACGCCCCCCCCCAGTCTCCGCGTCGGCAGCTCCCCATTGTCCTCGTACTCGTCGTGCTTTCTGGTCGTCTTCTCCTTGGGCGGCCGGGTCCGGCCGCATTGGTGCGCCATTGCCGGCGCGTCCTGATGGTGGAGGAGGAGGAGGAGGAGGAGGAGGAGGAGGAGGAGGAGGAGGAGGAGGAGGAGGAGGAGGAGGAGGGGCCGCGTTCCAGGGGCACGCGAGCCGTCGCTGCTGGGCTCCTCCTCCCGCTGCTTGTCCCTCCCGCCTCCTCCTCTTTCCTGCCTCGTTCTACCCCACCCTGCTGCTCCTCCCCCTCACCTTGCTTCCTCCTCCCTCCTCATTATTGCTCCTGAAGGCTCCCATTCTTGCTCCTCCTCCTCATCATTCTTGCCCTCGTCCCTTCTTCCTCATTCCTTGCTCTGTCCTCCTTCCTCCATCCCTCCTTCCCTCCTTCCTCCTCCTCTCCTTCCCTTCCTCCCTCTTTCCCGCCTTCTCTCCTTCCACCTCCTTTCTCTTTCTCCTTATCCTCCCTCCTTCGCTCCTTCCTCCTCCTCTTTCCTGCTTCAGTTTCCTCAACCATGTTCCTCCTCCCCCTCCTCCCTCCCTCCTCCTCCTTGCTCCTGTGGGCTCCTCCTCCTCCCCTTGTCCTCCTCCTCCTCCCTTCTCCTCCTCCCTTCTCCTCCTCCCTTCTCCTCCTGCTTGCCTCTGGGGGCTTCCTACCTCCTTCTTCCTCCTCCTCCTCTTTACTCATATGAGCTCCTTCTTCCGTGCGGTGTCCTTCTACTGCTTATCCATACCTTCCTCCTTTTTCATCGGTCAGCCTCAGCGCCACATCAGCATCAAGGAAAGGACTGTGACAGAGGGAAAGGAATTAAGTCAGAGGAGCGGGAGGTAATGATATATTCAGGTGTTCCAGCATTTTCAGTTGTGGTTGCTGTCCCGCCTGGCCGGAAGAGGTTGTCCCACCTGGCCAGAGAAGAAAGGCTGCGTTATTCATGTCGAGGGCCGCTGTAAAGCCCAGAAGTTCTGGAACGTAGCTATCCTGTGCCAATCGCACCATGACATGATTCCCGTCCAACTTAGTTGATTCATGGGAGTTTGAGAGAGGTATGGTGGGAGTGAGAGCGAGGACGTGGAGTATTATACTCAGGAAAAGGATGTCGAGTGGGCGGAAGAGGCTGAGGAGGAGGGCGGCACGGATCCGAGACCCCAAGTCCCTTAGACTTTAGTGTTCTAAGACAGCGACGACCCCAGGACCAGAGAGCCCTCATACCCTGGAGACCAAGACCCTCAGTCAAGGGAGGAAGAAACACCCAGACCGAACAAATTGGCGTTTCTAAACGGCCTTGGCCGTTCACTACACAGCCCTGCCCTTTTTGATGCCTTCTTTGGGCGCGTTTATTAGACGGCTTCGCGTGTCGGGGTGGTGACTATCGGGGTGGATCTTCTGCCTTCTACTCAGACCCAAAGACCCAAGGACCCTCGACCAGTACGACGCTAAAGTATACATAAACCAAGACTCCGAGTCCCTGAGTCGTGGAAGGCGAGACCAACAGATCCCTGAGTCCCTGAGACCTCGAACGTCATGGGCCCTAAGCCTCGAGGCTCGACGCCCAGCCGCGAACCCTGAGCCACGGGAAGCGAATGCTAGATATGGGATCTGCCCAACATACTTCAGCGTGAACGGGGGCAGCTCCATGATTGACTTTGCTCTTCCCGACGCACATGGCTGATGCGGTCGAGCATTGCCACACCTGACGAGGGCTGGGAACGCAACTGCAAGCGTTCAGGGGCCCGCCCCCGCAGGATCACGTTCCCATCATGTTGCAGATGGACATCCCGAGATTCTCGGAGCAGATCCAGCGGGTTCCGCGCGCAGAGTGGGGCAGTGATAATATTAGGGATGCACTGCGTGGGGAGGGCGACTTGAAGCGGGACTTGCTGCTAGCGGTCGAAGAACGACTGCAGGCGGAGGACCCACGGTGGACAGATGTCTTCTTCGATTACATGAATCGGGTGCTGGTTGAGGCGGGGCAGCAGCTCTTCCGACCTGGCAGGAAACTTCAGAATCAGGGCGATGCGGCTTTTCGACGCGAATTACTTTGAAGGCGAGCCGACCTACGGGCAGCAGTGGGTTCTCTTTCCGCACAAAATGGCACCGCCCTGGGAGAAGCAAGTACGGCGTCACCCTCTCTTGAGCAGGTCGAGTCCGAACTAGAGGAGGTCACCCACCGTCTCCACCAGCAGCGGCGTCAGGAACGGGCAGCGAATCGGATATACATGGAGGAGGAGATCGAGACGGCCTGGTGGTTTAGGAAGCTGGCATTGGCGATGAGTCCCCCACGCGAGGTGGGACGGTGCAGCTTTGGCCCAAAGAAGAGGGGCGGCAGGGCCATCAGGGTGGCCCAACCCTCTCGGGCAGAATGGCTGGAGGCGTGGCAGGCAGCAGGAAAAAGTGGCGGCATGTCGGCGACGGAAGTGGACCCGCCTGAGCTCATCCAGTCGACGGAGGTGTTGCCCGACCTGACGGTGGAGATGGAGGAGTGCGCTCGGGCGGACATCAAGAGGGTCTCGTGGGCGGTGCAGAAGGCGAGTCGACGCCGAGCGGTTCCTGAGCGATCACCGCCAGTCGAACTTTGGCAGTTTTGCTTTCAGCATGAGAAGCACTACGTGCGAGGGTGATGGGGAGTGGGAGCTGACGCAGGAACGCTTGGCATGGCGTCCTTCGCGGAGGCGATGTTGGAGGGCTTTCGGATGATCAGAAGAGCGACGCGTACCCCCAGCCACTGGCACCACGTCTCAGCAGTTGGACTACGCAAGATTTGTGTCCCAGGTGTGAAAGGTCAGCGGGTAATTCGCGCCCTCGACCCCATGGGCAAGTGCTTCCACGCGGAGATCTTGAAGGTGCCAGCGGACATTGCTGACTATGGATGTATCAGACACCGCCGACGTGAAAGAGGCGATCATGACAGCTCAGGTGGTGGCTTGGCGTCTTCGTCATTCGTACCACGCCTTCTCGGCGAGTCTCAAGGACATGAGCAACGCCTTCGCGCCGGGCCACCACTCGCAGCTAGACGAGACAGTGAATGTGCGCGTGGCCAATGATTTAGATGTTCCGCTGGCTATGCAACGATATATGGAATCAAGGATTTGTCTGCCTGCCTCGGAAGGCCCCCCCCCCCTTGTGGCTTCATCCGGGAGAGGGCGGCGCCGTGGGGGGCCCCTTCGTGGTCTCGCTGTTCAGGGGTGCCTTCAGCAGGCTCATCTTTTCTAGGAAGTATCGGGAAGCTCATCGCACGTCTCGGGCGCCCACGGCCGAGTGGAAGGAAATGACAGCAAACCTCAGCCTCCTCAAGTGTGCTGACGACATCTGGAATTGTACGGTTGCGTCTCGGTTCCAGAGGATTTCGGAGTTCATGAGATGGACGCGCAGTTCAGAGGAGATTCTGGAGGAGGAGCTGGAGGAGGTGGGGCTTGGAGCTAATCGAAGCAAACTAGTCACGCTGTTCCACGTCTCGGGAGCAGGTAGCCCAAAGGTCAAACGCCGGCTTCGCCACCGCGCCGCCCGGAAAAACTCTTTTTCCCGGCAAACTCGACTTTTTCCCGGCAAACTGGACTGTTTCCCGGCGATCCGTTTCAGAAACGTTTAAAGCTTTTGAAAAGCTTTACAGAGTTCCCTCCGACGACGGACCCTGGAACCTCCGACGCGGCCGCCTTGGGGCCTCCTTAGGCCCCCTTGGGGCCTCCTGAGGCCATCTTGGGGCCTCCTTAGGCCCCCTTGGGGCCTCCTGAGGCCATCTTGGGGCCTCCTTAGGCCCCCTTGGGGCCTCCTGAGGCCATCTTGGGGCCTCCTTAGGCCCCCTTGGGGCCTCCTGAGGCCGCCTTGGGGCCTCCTGAGGCCATCTTGGGGCCTCCTTGGCCCCCTTGGGGCCTCCTGAGGCCATCTTGGGGCCTCCTTCTTGGGGCCTCCTGAGGCCATCTTGGGGCCTCCTGAGGAGCCGCTTGGGGCCCCCTGAGGCCTTCTTGGGGCCTCCTGAGGAGCCGCTTGGGGCCCCCTCAGGCTGTCTTGCGGTCTCCTGAGGAGCCGCCTGGGGCCTCCTGAGGCTGTCTTGCGGTCTCCTGAGGAGCCGCTTGGGGCCTCCTGAGGCTGTCTTGCGGTCTCCTGAGGAGCCGCTTGGGGCCTCCTGAGGAGCCGCTTGGGGCCTCCTGCGGCTGTCTTGCGGTCTCCTGAGGAGCCTCTTGGGGCCTCCTGGGGAGCCTCTTGGGGCCTCCTGAGGAGCCGCTTGGGGCCTCCTGAAGCTGCCTTGCGGTCTCCTGAGCGCCGCTTGAGCGGTCTTGCTGTCTCGAACGGCGTCGTTGCGGTCGTCACCAGAACGAGGAGGATGAGGAGGAGGAGGAGGACCGTGGGAGCACGAATCGGATACATGATAAATGATGACGATGATGATGATGATGATGATGATGATGATGATGATGTTGATGATGATGACGATGATGGTGATGCGGATGATGATGATGATGATGATGATGATGATGATGATGATGACGACCACTGTGATGATGATGATGATGATGATGATGATGATGCTATCCGACGGTGATGATGATGATG